TGGAGATGCAATCTCTGCAAGGATGGACGATACAATCTTTGCCCGGAGATGAAGTTCTTTGCAACCCCACCGGTTCATGGCTCTCTAGCCAACCAAGTGGTTCACCCTGCGGATCTATGCTTCAAATTGCCTGAGAATGTCAGTTTGGAGGAAGGAGCAATGTGTGAACCACTAAGTGTTGGTGTACATGCTTGTCGCCGAGCTGCGGTTGGTCCTGAAACAAACGTATTGGTAATGGGAGCTGGACCTATTGGGCTTGTCACAATGCTGGCTGCTCGGGCTTTCAGTGTGCCTAGAATTGTTATTGTGGATGTTGATGATAACCGTTTATCCGTAGCTAAACAGCTCGGCGCAGACGAGATTGTTAAAGTGACAGCAAACACAGAGGTTCTTACACTTTTTGAATCTTTCTGAAACATAAATGATCTGAGATTATAGGATAACGATTGCCCCTTTTACTTTTGCAGGATGTTGGTTTTGAGGTTGAACAAATACAAAAAGCTATGGGTTCAAACATCGATGTGACATTTGATTGTGCGGGTTTTAACAAAACCATGTCTACGGCATTAGCAGCCACTCGATGTGGCGGTAAAGTCTGCCTTGTAGGAATGGGTCACGGTGTAATGACTGTCCCTCTCACTCCTGCAGCTGCAAGGTAACTTCTTCTAACCATCAAAGTAAGAGACTGAGCTTTGAAAACAATAATATGATCCTAAAACAAATGTGTTACTTTTTTGTCTTGAGTTGAGATAGGGAAGTAGATGTGGTAGGTGTGTTCAGGTACAAGAACACATGGCCTTTATGTCTTGAGTTCTTGAAAAGTGGCAAGATTGATGTAAAGCCACTCATAACCCACAGATTCGGTTTCTCTCAGAAGGAAGTGGAAGACGCCTTTGAAACCAGTGCTCGTGGCAGTGATGCCATCAAAGTTATGTTCAATCTGTGAAAAACATCTTTGCTTTTCCCTTTCTAAGACCATATCAAGGTTTCGGTAATAAGAATGCTTCTGTAACTTTGTTAATGCATCACTCTAGTCACTGTATGTATATCAACTCTGAAACTTTCTTGAATAGATAAATCCGTTGTGACAAACTGATAATACAAATCCAAACATTACAAGACAAAGCGAATGTTGAAATTGGACAAAAAAGGGACCAAAATTCGCCCAATTCTGTCTCAGAACTTCTAACATGACACGATCTTGGCCTTAACTAGAAAGAACATCAATAAGAAAGAAAAAAGTCTCAATATATAATGTTACAAGAAGATCGTAGAAAAGAAACTCTGCTGAAGAAGAAACCGTGACAATGGCAAGATTTCGATCTTCCTCAAGACGAAGCAGCGGTTGGTTCAGTGCACCATTTCCATACTTTAACTTGACCAGTTCCGTCACCCGTGAAAAATATGCCCCCGGGACCTATCTGGATCGACCGTATTTCTTGCTTTGCAAAGATTTTGCCCCTCTCCGTAAATCTAATAAATGAACCTAAGCTTTCAGAAAACAATAAAAGAGGAAGAAAGTGTAGCTTCAGAAAAGGAAAAAAAGTGTTGCAAGACTTACGATGGCAAGTCGTAGAGGCGCAAGGAATTGTCATTGCAAGAGCATAACAAAACCGGCTTGGCTTCTGCATCATGTACACCACATAGAGCGAGCACTCCCTGATTCCAAGTCAGACATTGCCAGAATTTGTTTAGTTAGCTACATTACATATAAGATTAGGACCAAAAAAGAGGGTTAACACATTCAGAAAGGAAACTATACATGTTCTTCTTTGTGAGTGTATGTCACTTCCAAGTTGCCACCTTCAATTGCAGCCCATATCTACAGCGAGGAAAAAACGTCAACAAGGGAAGACTGAAAGTTCCACAAGATTATTAGGATAGTTAAAGAAAGACGAACTAACCTTGACCGTGTTGTCCAATGAGCAAGACAAAAGAAACTGATCCCAGCAAATGAGAGACATCACAACTGATGTATGATCCGTGAGAGTTTGTATACACTGCAGATTATCCAAGCTCCAAACCTATAAACACCAAAACGATTAGTTCAAACAAACAAAAACAACGGGAGTTTGTCATAAGCATGAAATATAATACAAGTACTTGCTTTTATAGATTTGTCCATGGAACCAGAATAAAGTCTGTTTGCTCCAACATATAAGGTAACAACTGCAAGTGTGTGGCCCTTCAGTGACGCCGCCGGTTCAAAACAGCTCGTGGCAGCATTATATCTCCAAGCTAAAATAGAGCCATCCTGCACAGAAAGTAAGTTGAGACTTATTTAACCAAAAAGCCGACATACTTGTAGCCACTAACACAAATGCTTCTTCGAACATACCTGTGTGCCAGCGAAGAGTAGATCAGTACCCACAACAAGAGAATACACTTGGCCAACAGGTCCAGTGAGACTTTGGTCTGCATTGGTTTCGATATTCCACGCCTGTATTAAAAACAATAATATATTACTCAACAAGCATAGAGCAATAAAAGCAGCTTCTCGGGTAAGAGAAACCATACTCAGAACTTGCCTTTACAAAATTTGGCATGCCAACCAATAGCCACGGGCCTTCGCTAATCACACAGCCAATTTCCCCACCAAGATTGAGTACGCTTGTACACTAATGAAAACAGAAGATAAAAGTAACCACGATAAGTAAACTTAAACCACTCTTCAGAGGGGATACAAGCATGCTTCTGAAAAAGCTGAAAATAGATAAACATGGTTTTCTAGCTAGAGAGACAACAAGAACATCCATTGGTTCAAATCAGGATCAACAAAATCAGACTCTTCTTAACAAATTGTATTCTCTTAAACCAGTCTACATCCTAAGCAACCAAATTCCATCAAACATGAATAGCATTGAAGAAGATCCTTTGAATAAAGACCTGTCCAGAAGCACAATCCCAGACACGGATGGTCTCATCTTTACTCCCAGTGTAGAGCTTATCAGAGCCAGAAGGCAGAGCAATCCCACTCACAAGCTTCTCATGACCATCAAGCTGAGTCAATAACGAGAAACTATCTCCTTTGCTCCAGCAATGCAAATATCTACACTTATCCCCGTATGTACAATTCCCATCTACCCAAAAATTGCAAACTTTTTCCGTCTTCGTCACCGTCCTGTTCCCACCGAATCTCCCCCAGCTATTCGAGTTTCCGCTAAACCCAGGCCCTCTCCGATGACTCGGACCCGCAAATCCGGATTCCTCAGCGACCCTTTTGTTCGTGTA